GCAGAGGGCCAAAATGTTGGGGATCATTATACAGTGGGGAGAATGTTCTGGGGCAGGAGGCTAGAGTCAAGTTGGTGACAATGGTTAACATTTTACCTCAGAGCCACAAGGATTTAAGGTATCTTGACTCTAGGGCTGCTTTTCAACATCAAGGGGTGAATAAGAGACATCTGGGCTTCAAATAAGTCACTGAAAGCTTAAGAGGGCAAAAGCTTGCTGGAGGCTAGAACTGAAAGCATGGAGTCACGGTGGCGTGGGGGGCTGGGGGGCTGGGGGTGTGTGTGTGACTCTGCCTCAGAGTTATATCTGTCCCCAGATCATTCATTCAGATTCTGATTCAGAATTCCACAAAGAACAAGAAATCATCTAGAAGACACTCCATATCAGTATAATATCAAAGGTAAAGGCAAGGAGGCAGTTGAGAGCCCTGGAGCATTAGAATCCGGGCCCTGACGCGAGCAGAGGGTGGAAGCAGGTGAGGATTCAGGGACTGGAGGGGACAGTGCTCCAGAGCCATGTTTTCCACATTGGATTCCACTGAGTCTGACTTCTTCCAGCTGCCAATGGGGTGATTGTTCAATTACACATGAAAATATGGGACCAGGGAATTTCCACCCTGACGCCCCTTCTGCTCTTTCGTTCCCCCAAAGAAGCAAGTGATCATCAGTCCGCATGGGACAGACTTCAGGACACTGACGAGAACATCTTTTCCAGTGGGCAGAGACACTGTGCCTACCAGGTGCTACATACACTTAGGTGTCTGTCTCTCTCACTCTATCATTCTCTCGCTCTTTCTCTCTCTCTCCTCTCTTTGTCTGTTCTAAACCCCTGCCTTTGTGGGGCAGAGAAGCTGGTAAGCTGAGTCTCTGCTGGGCACAACTGTCCTCTGCTCTCAACCTCGGCATGCTGTGGCAGCTCCAACGAGGCCTGGCACAAAGTAGACCAGCCTGCTCTGTAATCCCCTCTCTCTCTTCTCCCTGCCCCTAGGCAGCAGGCCGACCCAGACCACAGCTGAACCAGCACTGACATAAATGTGCCCACTGTTCCCTGGGTAGGCTTAAGGTCTGCTAAGTTCAGCGCCTGGAATTTTGGGCCAATGGGCTGCAGCCTATGTGGGAAAATCCACACAGGGAGGCCAGACAACTCCACACTGGACATGTTCATGATGGATTTAAAGCTCTAGGGGTCAGACCTGCCCTCAGAAAGGAGGAGGATGTTTCCTCTAGGTTGTGGTCATCCTCCTCAGATCCCCCTGCTGGCCTCCGAGTGTTATCTGGGCAGAGCTGGCCACCACCAGGAGTGCAGGAAGCTTCCTGGCTTGGGACGGACCAGAAAAGGCAGCAGCTGGAGTCTTCAATGGCTTGAATGAACCACAAAGCCTTTTCAGAGTCCTCACTATTTCTGCAACTCTCTCTACGTGTCTGTTAGTAATCCTGATGACTGGATTGTCCTGGCCATTAGGACTGCCGGGTGAGGCATGTGTGACAGAGGAGCGCACCTGCTGGCCCATCCAGGTGGCCTCCACCCACCCCAGAAAAAGCCTCTTGGGCAGCTCCCTTCTGCTTCTTTTGGTTTGTAAGTGGGAGTTTCTATCACATGGAGTGTCAGCAGCAGAGACCTCAGATTCCTCAACAGAATCAAGGAAAGGTGGGGGAGGAAAGTGTAGTTCCACGAAGATTCAGTAGTTATGAGACAGGAAACTTAATCATGAGAAGAGGGTTACTCCAATTGTCCCTGCACAGAGGACTTGGCATCCCAAGTGTGTTTCTAGTAAGGGCAGGCCACACATGCTGACCATTGTCTAAACTTGTAGTACAGGGAAAGGCTGGAGCCTGTCTTACCCACAGGAGTGGAAAATGTGAGTGGCAAACAGAACCCAGGGGCTTTCCCAGGGCACCTGTGCATTAAAAAAAAAAGAAAGAAATCCTGCTTAGAGAATGAAATGAGTCTTCTCAGACTGTTAGCCGTGAATCCTCTGGCCTAGGGAAAATTCAAATTAAATTCTAATGAGCTCTCCCCAGGGCCAAGAGCTGTCTCAAACTGGCACAACAGCCCTTGCCTGGTGCATGTGCTTCTCGCAGGTACAAATGCTATGCCCGTGAATCAGAATGGTGTCTTAAAGGGCTCCAGCCCACCAGCACAGGACAACCTCCTGGGTCAGGCCAGGTCATGAAGTGGGCCTGGGCTATCCCCAAGCTTTGCTGGGTATTCTCTGTCTCACCTAGTTATGAGGCTTTCAGGTGCAGGTGGGCTATAAAAATGGCAGGTGGAACAGTTGTTCAGGAACAGATGGCCTTGAGGATCTCCTGGTAAAATGGCTTTCTGGACAACATTCTGGCCGGTTCTCAAAATAAGGGCAATGAAGTTAAAAACTCACCCATCTCATTTGATATTGATTCATTTTCTTAAGGGGCATAAAGAGAATAAAAGGTAAGATCCCTAAGATTGATACCATTTCTGCAACTACAAACCAGTTGAGAATGGCCAGGAGATGCCAATAGTAGTTGACACCCTTGCTTCTAGAGAAAATGGATACCTCTCTGCACTAACCAGGAATACTGCCTATGGTCCATGGCCCCCTCTCCCATGAATAATTCCAGGGGTGTTCACCCAATGAATGTGGAACCATGCTAAGTGAGAGGCTCACATTTATCCCAGAGCTTGGATTCCAGGCTGAACCATGATGACAACAATGTTTCTTTGATCTATGCCTGGAAGAACCAATATTGGAAATTGGGTCCTTCTGCATGAGGTGAATGGGCAGGTGGTGCCTGGATTTATCATTTATCATTCAGACAATGGTACAATGCAGAAACATAGCGGGTATTTTTGTATTTCCTGAATAATCACAAAGCAAAACTGTCAGCTTGCTCCTGAACAGCACTCTAGGCCACCTGCAGTGATACAAGACTTTGCAAAAACTTCTAAGAATAGACATGTCCACTGGCATGCAAAGTGCACCAACCACAGGCCCACATTCTCAGACCCACAGATACCAGAGACAGCCCGAAGCTACAGCTACATCATTATATAACCAAGACTTGTGCTCTTGGGATCTCAGAATCCTGCATCCTCCTCCTCACCCAGACTCAGGCAACTGCAGACAAACACCCTGAAGAGGAGGGCAGCAGTTGGAAAGTGGTCCTATCACCTTCCCAGCAGCTCTGACAGGACACATTTATAGATGTAAGACAAGTATCTTGGCAGAGGAATCACCCCCTTCCTTGAACATTACACACCCTAGTTTCTACCTAATATATTGGGAAATGGGGAGAGTTTGCCGCTATAGGACTCTAGAATGCACCACACTTATATAAACCAGTATAGATTCTACCAGTCCTACTCAGCATGGGGTTCAGGGGAAAACTTGAATTAAAATGTTAGGAGAGAAAAACCCCAGTTTTAACTGGACACGGTGGCTCATGCCTGTACCCCCATTACTTTGGGAGGCTGAGGTGTGAGGATCTCTTGAGACCAGAAGTTCAAAACTAACCTAAGCAACAAGGTAGCAAGACTGTGCCTCTACATAAAATACGTAAAAACTGGCCCAGCATGGTGGTGTGCACCCATAGTCCCAGCTACTCAGGAGGCCGAGACAGAAGGATTGCTCAAACCCAGGAGTTTGGAGTTGCTGTGAGCTATGATGAAGCCACTGCATTCTAGCCTGGGCGACAGAGCAAGACCCTCCCAAAACGAACAATAACAAAAACAAAAACCACCACCCAAGTTTTGAAGCAATGTAGGAAAGGGTAGTTTCATGTCAGATGAAGAATTTCAGACCAGTGGATCTGAACAGAAGTGTCAACAGAAGCTGGGCATGTTAGCCCATGCCTGTAATCTCAGCACTTTGGAAATCCAAAGAGAAAATAACTGAGGCCAGGACTTCAAGAGCAGCCTGGGCAACACAGCAACACCCTGTCTCTACAAAAAAAGGAAGTGTTAGTGGAAAGTCTAAAGGCACCTGATTAATTACATTGTTCTGCAGCACCCAGTGTTCAGACTGTGTCGAGAGTAACTGCACTAGCGGCTAATTGCACACAGCTCTCACTTGAATCAGAACAGGAAGAGCTCTTGTTTCAGCAGATGACTCACATAGTTGATCTCAAACTGCACACTCTGTCTTGTTTGCAGTGGGCAAAGCTCAACCCTTGGTTCAGAATGACTTTAGCTTGCCTCAGGCATTGGTCAGAAATATCTGAAGGGTTCGTACACAGATTTTGGGTTCCTTTCTATGACTTTGTGCTTTGGAGATTTTATCACTTCCCAGAAATCCTGTTTACTCTGGGCTTCCAACCAACTCCCAGAAAGAAGGTGGACTTTCTACCAAAGTTTTGAGTCATCCCCCATGTAAGGTGGTGGCTTCTTTCAGGGTCAGGCAATGCTACATAGGAAGACAACCTCTGACTTTTGACTTCTCCCCAAATTTGGCCTGTTCTTGTTTACAGAGGTTTCAGGAAGTTATTTTTCTTTTTTTAAATATTGTTCAGAGTTTCTAGCTGTTATTAGCAAGAGGGCCAGTTGGTTAGGAAATTCCTCCTGACTATTAGAAACAGAGCTCCCTGGTCCTCATTCCTAAGCAGCAATCAGCCGTGCCCACCCCCACACCCAGCCATGTCCAAGAGACATCCCTGGGTCCAGAGAGAGCACGAGCATTTGGTTCCTTTGGGGGAAACAACCTCTTCTTTGGGTCTAGGAGTAGAGGTGGGACTGTTAATCAAGATACTGGCACTTGAGTAAGCCAGGCCAGCCAGAGTTGTGGCTTACTTGAGGTTGTGAGAGTTTAAAATAATTGATGAACATTAACTAACATCCTTGACAAGATGGCTGAGTCGGTCCTGAAATTGCTCTGATTCCTGTATTGGTTGCTGGGCTATTTGCCATCTCAGCACTCAGACTTCCTACCCTTTCTGTGAGCCACTGTGATTTCATCACTGCAGTCCCTTTTTGTTTAACCGAGATAGATTGGGTCTCTCCTGATGGCAAAAAGCCCTGATTGATGCAAGGATACTGTATTAATTTTCTAGTTTTGTTTGCTTATTACTTATATATTGCAAACAGGACAGATACTTTCTAAGTGTATAATAAATATCAACTCATTAATCCTCACCATAATCTAGTGAGTTAGGAACTTTTGGTATCTCCATTTTGCAGATGGAATCAGTGCAGGGAAGGACAAGTAGCTTTCCAGCCAGCCAGGAGGAGGAAGAGGAGCTGGGTTTCTACCTACTTGGGCTAACTACAGAGTCTCTGTTCTTAAATACTAGCTCGTGCTACCTCTCAGTGCAGGTTGGTACTGCTTATGACACCAAAAATAACTGAGAAGAGCCTCACAGAGCTGGCTGCTCAATGAATCCAGTGGACCCTGTGTGAAATGGACATTATCTGACCTCCATACACTCTACTCCCTCAGGGGCCCACAGTGATGCTTAGGGCCCCCAAGCACTAGCATTGTCTCTGACACTGTATTCAGCAATGCTTGAAAGATATATATGTTTGCCTTTCTCCAATATGTGGTTGAATAAATGTCCATAGCTCCCTTTGATGGAAAAACAAGGGAGTCACTGCTGTGCACATTTGCAAGGTCCTTCCTCATGAGGAACTGTCCCTATTTCCATTAGGGGGTTCTGGGTCTCACTAATAACTGGCTCAGGTTTGGAAACTGGGGAAGAGATCGAGACTTTTCACTGAGGTAGCTGGTAGCCTTCTGCTCCTCTACTTCTAATCTCTTTTGATGACACGTATGAAGCGAGATCCTTGTTGGCCGCCCATCCGCCTTGCCTGTAGGAGCCCATATCCTGTAGGTCACCTCCCCAGACCTGCAGGCCAGCCCCCTGGCTGTCTTTATAACCTTGTTGCCCCTTATGGAAATGATTTTGTCCTGACAATTAAATGCTGCCACCTGGACATTGTTATTCTGGAACTCTGTCATTTCCATTGCTACTAGAGAACCCAGTTCTGAAAAATGTTCCTACCATAGTTTAAAACTACAGAGGAAAGCCATGGCAGAGCTTCTTAAGGATGCTGGTGCCCCTCAGCAGTGTGTCTCATCTCACCTTGAATTAGTATGTCTGCTCTCCTGAGGAGCTCAGTCACCCCATGGTGGATTTTCCAGCAGTAGAGAGTAGAGCCAGCCTAGCATGCCAACTTCCCAAGGCTTTGACTCTTTTTTCCTGGAGTGTGCCATGGTTGTTCTGGTAACTCAGCTTTCATTTCATTTAATGTGCATGATGGTTTATGCGCAGCCTCTGTGAACTACCCATGAGCATATCAGAATTATCACTTTTGGCCCTTGCCAGGCTAATTAACTCTGTAGCAGAGTAAATGTCCCTGCATTGACAATTCTCCCTTACCCAGTCTTATATTTTACCTTTCTGGATCCAGGATCCATTTGCAGACACAATGTTCCAGCTCCTGCTGACCCATATTGGCAGGCCCTGCCCTGCAGCTCTTTGCAGTATGAACCCCCTCTTCACCTCGCATCCCCACCCAGGACCTGCCTAGTCAGGTTATACCGAGAGGCTTCTGCACAGTCTTCATTCAGGCAAAATGAGGGCTGGGGTAGGAGAGGAGTGGTAACTCTCCCTTCCCAACCAGGGGAAGGAGAGTTTTCTGCAAGCCTAGTGGTTTCTTCTAAGGGATCTGGAGCTCAAAGTTCTCATGTGTGTCTACCTAGTAGCCCCATCCTGATTTTCAAGGCCCTGACTTCTGTATAAGAGACTATCCTGAGCTTAGGATTCAGACTTCTCTGAAGTTCTGCTATTCTTATGATTAGGGCCTGTGCCAGACCTTCCTTGTTATCCACCTTCCAGTTGCAGGTATGAGGTCTCTTTGCTTTAAGTCAGTGATTAATAGATCTAAGTCCGTCATTTACTCTTTTCAGCACATTAGTAGCACTTAGCAATAGTTAGTAACTAGTTCTCATAATTACTTTCTCTCCCATTTTAAATGCCAGACGATCAATTACACCAGCTCCTAGAGCTCCACCAGTTTACCAAAGGTGAAAGTTTGGGCAAGTGCATGAGTTATAGCATTCCTGGGATTATCAATATTCCCACCTATCACCATTTTGCTAGATAGGGACCCCATCATTAATTAGAACTTGCTTCCTAAGGGCCATTACCTTAGGTTGGGTTCTCCCAGAAACATTACCAGAGATGAAGGTTCTTAAGCAAGTGATCTATATTGAGAGTGCTCTCAGCAGAAGGGGGTTCAGGAAGCAGCCTTATGTGGGAAAAATTAAGCTGGAGATCAGCCCTAGCCTCGCTCACGGGGAGCACAGAGTAGCATCACACACCCTTTTTTCTGGACTTCAGGGGGAACCTCCCAGTGAAGCAGGCTCCATTTGTTCCAGGGCAATGCTCTGAGACCTGGGTGGCATTAGCAGCATCCACAGAGTTAGGGGGAAAGAGGTAGCCAGCAAAGGAGATGGTGCCAGGACGCCTGCAGTGTGGCAGGGAGTGAGAAATGGCTTCCCTTGAGCCTTCTACGTTCCTTGGCTTGGCTATGAATTAAATTGGCCATGAGGCAGATTAACCAGGGAATTAAAACCAGTTTTATTGTATATACACATTTTTATTGTTTATAGCCACAAAACAGGAGATTACAAGAAGGGGGCAGATGGCTGATGCGTATAGGTGAGAGGCAATCTGGGCTGTGTCACTTCCAATCTTCTTCCGTGTTATCTGAGTTAACATTCCCTGGCTGATGAGTTTCCCAGGGAGGAAACTTATGACAACCGAGCCCTTTTGGGGGCTCCATCTTTGGGCAGATAAGGGGAGCTAAGAAAAAGCCCCTCCCTGCATTTGCTGTCACCAAATGCTCTCATTTTGAAGTAATCGGCACAGCAGTAGCATATTTGGGGGGCTGCCATTTCCTAAGCCCCTTCAGCACCCACTGTACCAGTCAACTGTTCTCATCCTTTTCCTGAATGGCAAACATTTCCTTAAAATTCTTCTCAAATTCGGCCTCCAGTCTAAATCCCATTTGGCCAAAATTATTATACTAGAAAAAAATAATAAAGACAAAAATAATGATATTCATGATTAGTGTCATTAGATACTTTTTAACTGAGAGTGTTTGGGACTCTTGTCTTTTTTTTAAAAAATTATTTAAATTGGCAATTTATAATGGCATATATCCGAGGCTACAAAGTGATTCTGTGATTCTTGAATACTATGTGGAAAAATTAAATTAAACTAACTGACATATCTACTTACCTCAAACACTTATTTTTTTGTGGTGAGAATATGTGAAATTTACTCTTCAAACAATTTTGAAATGTACAGTACAGTATTATTAACTAGGACTCTTGCCTTAAACACCAGCTACATAAACGAGGTTAAATCTGAAAACTCATGCAGCTGAGAGTAATGTCTGTTTGCTACAAGTATGATTATTTCTTAATCAACTAGACAGAAAAGGGAAACCATTACCACGGTTGGAGACTATTATTTACTTGGATTTTACAGCCATTTTAGAAAATTCCCCTCCCCAGATTTCTGGAGTGCCTCCAGGGCAAAGTTTTTGGAAACATCCTACCCATATCCCAATTCTAAGGATACTCCCATAATCCTGATGGGCACTAGAGAAGAGCCCCGTGCAGTACCTGTGCTCACTGCCCCATTTCAGCTATCCTGATAAAGACTAAGAAAGGCCTTTTGCAACTGTTTGGGAGCTGAGCTCACACCTGGTTTGTCTCCATTCTCTTTTTCCCCTCTATTAAAGCATTTCCTCATACCTGCACTGGCCTCCTCTTCTTCCTTGCAGAGCCTTACCCTGGTTCTATGCCAGAACCTCTCAACGAGAAAATGAGGGCAACTCAATGGGAAGGAAGTGAAACAGAAGCAGGAGGGGCCACTGACCTTGTAGGATGCCCTGTGGTTCTGGAAGATGAGGCGCATGTCCTGCACAAACCCCTCCACCCGGGGGTAACCCTTCTCATGCAGCTTTTTCTTGATTTTGTTCAACCACATAGGTTCCTTCAGGCCTTGACAAGCCTCTCCAAGCTGGTGACAAAAATACCAACAGGAGAGCTACCAGCATAGTTCAATGTCTGCCTTCTGCGGGTTCCCATAAAATCCAGCAAAATCCAACAAAGCAAAGGCCACGGCAACTTGGGTTCTTGCCCCCATGGGATCAAGATCAGGGCTATGTGATATCACAGCAACCCATAATCATGGCTTGTTATTGTTACTTACGTAGTAATAATATGGAATCTTGGCAAAAAAGGAACTCTCAGAACAGCAATAGACTTTCAACAGAAGGAATTCACATTTCTGCAAAAGAAAGAAGAGTAAATGAAAACCATCTTGCATAGGTGTAAGGGATGACTCACACCCATCTTCAGGGAGTTTCCACCACATGTGGGGTGGAAACAGACATGTGATGGCTGAGCTATTTTTTCAGCAAACAAGTTATGGTGTTAATATCAGTGTGATGAAAGTGTAGCTCAGAAGAGCAGGCTTCCTTTGAATGCCTTGCCTCTGACCCTGTGCCTGTCTGTGGTTCTCGTGTAAGAAAGGAAAGCAGAGGGCTGGGGATGTGCATCAGACTCACCAGCTGTTCCTCTGGCCCCATCTGTTTCTCCAGGATCTCAAATTCCTGATAACATTGTTGATCTTCTGGAAACTCCTTCATGCTGCAGAAGATGCAGCTCCATGGGTTTCTGAGAGGTTGGACATAGCTGAGCAGAGGGCAAAGCCCCTGGAAACAGCCACCTTTCTTGTGGCTGCCACTACCCTCCTTCAGAAATGGGCAAGGGGCTCAGCCACGGGTGGCCACCTTTCAGAGCACCCTAGCCTTCACCTGAAGTCTCGTGCTGATGGCCCCCTCCCATCAGTGGTGGCAGCAGGTGGGTGGTCTGAGGAAGGTGGTACCAGAGAGGTGAGTTCTCTTTCTCCTTTCCCTGCCTGACCTGCTGGGGGCACAGGGAGCCCTGATTGCCAGGCCTGAGTATGGGAAAGTGAGCTTTAACCTCGGGATCTCCAGCCTCTATGAGCCCAATGAGAACAAAGTGAAATGTGGAACCGTGCTTCCTGTCTTTTCTGAATAGGCACAAAATATAAATAACTGGTGTTTTCTGCTCTCAAACTCCCTTGCAGGAGTCTCTGCTGCAAAAGTTGGAGGAAAGGGCAATATGTAGGCAGAGGGGCAGTCCCTGTCACCAGCCTCAGCAGGTGCCCCTGAAAGCACATGTAGTGAGAATAAGAGTCATTCAGGGTGGGGCTGAGACAACACAGCTGGTCTGGCGGGTTTAGGTCCTGTGTAACCTTCACCTCATTTCTTGCTGTTTTGTAAATTCAGCTTTAATCTAAAAGTGTATGTCTTCAGTATTTCAGGGCAATTGATTTAGGATATTAACTTTTAAAGTGGAAAGTTGCTTATGTTGTTTTGGGTCATGGACCATGCTGATTGTTGTTTATTATTGGTCATGGGTTATACTGATTATGTTGTTTAAGATAAAGATAAAAATAAAAAATACGATTTTTACTTTGAACTTTCATGTATAACACTGTGATTTTGGAAATGGAAAAACAAAATAGTCTTGGAGAGGCTATTCTCACTGTTCTGCAGAATTGCCAGCTTTCTGACAAAGTTCAGTGGGCCTATCCCCATCTCTGCATATTGGCTGATGGTGACAGGCAGCTGCACCCTCTGTCTGTTAACACCCCTGGCAGCACAAAGGATTTCCACCTCCTGCTGCCAGTACCTTCACACAGCTCTCTGGGTGATACTGCTGGGTCCTGGGACCTACCCAGCCAGCTCCTTCCCAACCTAGACACAGCAGGCACTCTTCAGGGGGAGTGCACATGGCAGGAGGAAGGGTCCATAGAAGGAGGGAAAACAGACAGGACTGGATGATACTCACTGCTCAATTTCTACAGGAGGGATATGACAGTCTTCATGGAAGGCTCTGGAACAAGTGTCACAGCAGTATAGAAACCCTCCATCCCGGCACACCTCACATTCGTCCATGTTTCCCAGCTAGAGGGTAAAACAATGTCCACATCACCGAGATCAGTGAGGCTCTGGAGGCCACCACTGTGGGAATCTAGAACACACTGCCTTTCATGAAACTGGATCTCCCTGAGATATCAAGAAACAAAATGGAGTGCAGATTTCATAACAAGGCTCCTGGGCTGCAGTGACGTTCAGAAGGGACGGGGCTGGATGTCAGAACAGAAAAGTTTTCCTTACAAAACGAAAGGATCTAATGCAAAAAAAAAAAAAAAAAGAGCAACAAAACAAGGTGATGATTTTTATAGGAACCTAAATTATTTTATTATCTTGCATATAAAACAAAGTCCTAAAAAAAACAGTGTTAATTCATCTGCATATACCACAATGATAAAATTGACTCACAGAAGAAGAATGGAGTCATTTAATTCTCATTTAATGGAGAATGAAATATGATGGAATGAACTGGGTTATCACATTATCCCACGTTCTCAGCCATTAAGCTCTCCATGAGTTGGAGAAAGGACTAGGGCAGGGCTTCCTGCACTGTGGATTCTGTGCCTGGAGGGCTCTAGGCCTGCCCATGGGCTAGAAGTACAATGGGAACACATGACCAGGGGGTTGCCAGGGAGGACAGAGTTCTTTGGCTTTGGGAGACTGGGAGAAGATCTCTCTCTACCTTAGGTAACCTTGGCATGTAAAGTGTGGCGGTGCCAAATCTAATGGCCAAGGGAGTGTGATAACAGCGACCACCCAGGTTGAAGACCAAGGATTTTATCAGATGCATTTTCTGCATCTATTGAAATGATCGTATGGTTTTTGTTTTTAATACTATTTATGTGGTGAATCACATTTATTGACTCATGGATGCTAAACCATCCTTACATCACTGGAATGAAACCTACTTGATTATGATGAATTGTACTTTTGATGTGCTATATTCAGTTGGCTAGTATTTTGTCGAGGGCTTTTCATCTATGTTCATCAATGATACTGGTCTGTAGTTTTCTTTTTTGCTGTTGAATCTTTGCTTGGCTTTGGTATCAAAGTGATATAGGTTTTATAGAATAAGTTAGGATGGATTCTCTCTTTCTTCACCTTTTGAAACAGTTTCAATAGAATTGGCCCAGTTCTCTCATGAAGGAATGTAAATTCTGTAGTTGTTGGGCAGAATGTTCTATAAATGTTTGCTAAGTCCATTTGGTCTAAAGTCCAATTTAAGTTCAATATGTCTTCATTGATTTTCTGTCTCCATCTGCCTAGTGCTGTCAGTGGGGTGTTGAAGTCCTCCATATTATTGTGTTTCTGTCTATGTCTTTCTTTAGGTCTAGAAATATTTGCTTTATGAATCTGGGGGCTTAAACATTGGGTGCATATATATTTAGGAGTGTAATACCTGCTGAATTGATTCATTTATCATTATATAATGACCCTCTTTGTCTTCCTTACTGTTTTTGATTTGAATTCTGTTTTTATCTAACATAAATATAGCTACTGCTGCCTGCTTTTGATTTCCATTGGGTGGAATATCTTTCTCCACCACTTTACTTTCAATCTATGCATCTTTGTAGGTAAGGTGAGTTTCTCATAAGATCATGTTCCTTTTCAATTCATTCTGTCAACTTATATCTTTTACATGGAGCATATAATTCCTTTACAGTCAGCATTAATATCAATGTGTGAGACTTCATTCTTGTCATATTCTTAGTTGACTTTTAATTGCTTTATAAAATCTTTCTTTCTTTTTCTGTCTTTGTGATTTGCTAAACTGTCCTGTTGCCATTTAATTCCTGTAGCAGCCCGTATAGCCTATAGCTAAGAGGAGTGAGAGTTATAAGAAATACCTGTAATGGAACACCTTGGTGAAAAGGGCA